AGAAGTAAAAAAAGCAGGGGTGACAATCATGATCTCAGAAAAAGCAAAAGAAAAAAACAGATGTAATAAAAAGATATAAGGAAGGCAACTACATCTTGCTAAAAGGTACTATAGAAAATGAAGTAATATCAATACTAAAGCATCAAAATTGTTAAAGGAAAAGTTAAAAGAGTTACAGGAGGAAATAGACAATAAAAACTATACTAGTGGTAGATCTCAAATTTCCCCTCCCAGAACTAAACAAATCTAACCACAAAATAAACAAGTTAAGGGGGTGAATAGAACTTTAGAAAAGTCAAGATATGATAGAATTCTGGAGAAAACTGAGGAATATACCTTTTTCTCAGTGGTACATGGCAACTACACAAAAATTGACCATATATTATAGCATAAAAATCTCACAATCAAATGCAGAAAAGAAGAAATATTAAATACATCCTTTTCAGATCATGATGCAATAATAATATTTAATAAAGAGCCATGGAAAGGTATATTAAAAATTAATTGGAAACTAAATAATCTAATCCTAAACCGAGTGGGTGGTCAAAGAAGAAATGATTGAAACAATCAACAATTCCATTAAAGAAAATGATAGCAATGAGACAATACACCAAAATTTATGGGATGCAGCCAAAGCTGTACTTAGGGGAAAATTTATATCTCTAAACACTTACATCAATAAAGAAAGAGGAGATCAATGAATTGAGCATGCCACTAAAAGAACTAGACAAAGAACAAATTAAAAATCCCCAATTAAACACCAAATTGGAAATCCTGAAAATCAAAGGAGAGATTAATAAAACTGAAAGAAAGAAAATCAGTGAACTAAACAAAGTAGGAGCTGGTTTTATGAAAAAAAGCAATAAAATGGATAAACCATTGGTTAACTTGATCCAACAAAAAGAAAGAAGAAAACCAAATTACCAGCATCAAGCATGAAAAGCGTGGGGGGGGAAAAGAATATAAAGGGTGAATTCACTACCAATGAAGAGGAAATTAAAGCAATTATTAGGAGATATTTTGTCCAACCGTATGCCAATAAATCTGACAATCTAAGTGAAACAGATGAATATTTGCAAAAATACAAATTGCCCAGATTAGAAGAAGAAACAAAATACTTAAGTAACCCTATTTTAGAAACTGAATAAATCATCAATGAACTCCCTAAGAAAAAAATCACCAGGAGCAGAACAAGTGAATTCTACTAACCATTTAAAGAACAATTAATTCTAATACTATACAAACCATTTGGAAAAATAGGCAGAGTCCTACCAAATTCCTTTTATGACACAAATATGGTGCTGATACCTAAACCAGGAAGAGCGAAAACAGAGAAAGAAAATTATAGACCAATTTCCCTAAGGAACACTGACGCAAAAAATTTTAGTAAAATGCTAGCAAAGAGATTACAGCAATACATCACAAGGATGACATGATATGATATGATATGATATCCTACTATCACCAGGTGGGATTTATGCCAGGAATGCCGGGTTGATTCAATATTAGAAAAACTATCAGCATAATTAACCATATCAACAGAACAGAAATCACATGATTATCTCAACAGATGCAGAAAAGGCTTTTGACAAAATACAGTTATCTATTCCTATTAAAAACACTAGAGGGCATAAGAATAAATGGAGCTTTCCTTAAAATGATAAATAGTATCTATCTAAAACCATCAGCAAACATTATCTGAAGGTAGCCTAGCCATACAAGATCTTAAACTGTATTATAAAGTGGTAAACATCAAAACTATCTGGTACTGGCTAAGAAATAAGAGTAGCGAATAAGTGGAATAGATTAGGTACACAAGACACAGCAGTAAAAGACTATAACAACCTAGTTTTTGATAAACCCAAAGACCCTAGCTTTTGGGGACGAGAATTCACTATTTGAAAAAAAATGCTCATAAAACAGGAAAACCGTATGGAAGAAATTAGGTATACATCAACATCTTACACCATATACCAAGATAAGGTCAAAATGGGTATATGGTTTAAACATAAAGGGTGATACCATGAGCAAATGAGGAGAGCAAGCAGTAGTTTACCTGTCAGATCAATGGAAAAGGAAAGAATTTATAAACAAATTTATGACCAAACAAGAGACAGATAGCATTACTGGATGTAAAAGGGACAATTTTGATTATATTAAATTTAAAAGGTTTTGCACAAACAAAATCAACGCAACCAAGATTAGAAGGAAAGCAGAAAGCTGGGAAACAACTTTTACAGCAAGTACCTCTGACAAAGGCCTCATTTCTCAAATATATGGAGAAGTGAGTCAAATTTATAAGAATACAAGTCACTTCCCAATTGATAAATGGGCAAAGGATATGAATAAGCAGTATTCAGATGAAGAAATCAAAGTTATAGTCTTATAAAAATTTTCTCTAAATCACTATTGATTATATAAATGTAAATTAAAACAACTCTGAAGCACCACCTCACACCTATCACATTAGCTAATGTGATAGAAAAGGAAACTATTAAATGCTGGAGGAGATGTGCAAAAATTGGGACACTTACACACTGTACTATTGGTGGAGTTGTGAGCTGATCCACAGCTTGACAGCAATTTGGAATTATGCCCAAAGGTCTATAAAACTGCACTTATTCTTTGATCCATCAATACCATTACTATATAGGTCTATATGTCAAAGAGATTTTAAAAAAGAGAGAAAAGGATCTATTGGTGCAAAAATATAGTAGTTCTTTTTTGTAGTGGTAAAGTTAGAAATTGAGGAGATGCCTAACAACTGGAGAACGACTGAACAAATTGTGGTATATGATTGTAATGGAATACTACTGTGTTATAAGAAATGGTGAGCAGGCTGATTTCAGAAAAATCTGAAAAGACTAATGTGAGTGAAGCGAGCAGAACCAGGAGAACACTGTACACGGTAACAGCAACATTGTGCAATGATTAACTTTGATAGACTTGGCTCTTCTCAGCAATGCAATGATCTGAGAAGACAATTCCAAAAGACTCATGATGGAAAATCCTATCCAACCTCCAGACAAAGAACTGATCATTCAGAATCTAAATGCAGATGGAAGCATACTATTTTCTAACTTTCTGTATTTTTTCCATGGTTTTTTTTTCCTTTGGGTCTGCGTCTTCGTTCACAAAATGACTAATATGGCAATATGTTTTACATGATTTAACATGTATCACTGTCTCAGGGAGGCAAGGGAGGAAGAAAATTTGAAACTCAAATTTTTTTTAAATGAATGTTTAAAATTATCTTTACATGTAATTGGAGAAAAAAATACTATTTTTTTAAAATGCTAGGTATAGCAATAAAACAAAAGAACAAAACCAAAAGTAAAAACATGACAAAGGAGAGATTTCACTTCCTATTAGCAGATGACACGATGGTGTATTTAAAAAACCTCATAGTCTCCTTTGGTTCTTATTCTTTTTTCACAACATGACCAATGTAGAAATATGTTTGATATGATTGTACATGCATAGCCTATACAAGACTGCTTGCCACCTTGTGGCAGGGAGGAGGGAGGAGGGAGAAAAATATTTGGAACACAAAACCCTATAAAAGTGAATGCTGAAAACTATCTTTACATGTAAGTGGAAAAAGTAGAATAGAAAACTCCACAGTCAATGAAGAAACTACAACAATCAATAACTTCAGAAAGACCAAGGATACAAAATAAGTTTGCAAAAATCATTAACTTTTCTCTACTTTAAAAAATCAGAGAGAAATACAAGATAAATTCAAAGTGGATATATACAAAATGTCTACATCCAGAGCCAACCTACAAAACTACACAAAATGTATATAACGACTACAATATCACCCTTTAAAGATAAACAGAGACATTTAAATTAGAGAAAGATTTGCTGGTCTTGGTTGGGCTATAGCAATATGAAGGGAAAAAAAAGTCATCACTGCTCCCCTCCATGGAACGACATTCCACCCAAACTAGCTTACCTGTTCTCCAAATCTGGCATGGTAACTTTTTTTTTTACAGGTTACACATGTGTAGTCATGCAAAACACTTCCATAGCAGTCATGTTGTGAAAAACTAACTCTATTTCCCTTCATCCTGTCCTGCCCCCCATTTCTTCTATTCTCTCTTTTGACCCTGCCCCTCCTCAGAAGTGTTTGCTTCTGATTACCCCCTCTCCCACTCTGCCCTCCCCTCTATCACCCCCCTGTTCTCTTGTCCCCTTCTCTCCCTATTTTCCTGTAGGGTAAGACAGATTTCCACACCCAGTTGAGTGTGTATGTTATTCTCTCCTTAAGCCAAATCCTATGAGAATAAGATTCACTCATTCCCTCTCACCTTCCCCTGTTTCCCCTCCACTGTAAAAACCTTTTCTTGTCTGTTTTATGTGAGATAATTTACCCCATTCTACCTCCCCCTTTCTCCTTCTCCCAGTATAATTCTCTCTCACCCCTTAATTTTATTCTCCAGATATCATCCCTTCATCTTCAACACACCCTGTGCCCTCTATACATATATCTATCTATATATACATACGTATAATTTTTACCCTCCAGCTATCCTAATAATGACAAAGGTCTCATGAGTTACAAATATCATCTCTCCACGGCATGGTAACTCTTACTGAAACATCTCTTTTTCTGTTTATACAACATGTCTGAAACCCATTCCCACAGCTCAACTCAGGTGCCAACTCCTCCAGAAAACCTTTTGTGGTCCTCTCAGTTGCTAATTTTTCTCCCTCCTTAAAGGATATTGTTATTTATTTTAATATAATATTGCCACAAGTGAATATTCAAGTCACTTGAGGGCAGGGACCTTTTTTTGGTCTTTGTATCCATTCTCACCCCCACCCCCCAGCACTTAGCACAATGCTTTGCACATAGTATGTGCTTACATAAATGTCTGAATTGAACTGAATTAGACTGACAGCTACTATTAAGTTCTGCTATCTACTACTTATCATCAAGCTCACTACATAAAATCACTACTATCACTACCAGTATCACAAGCCAAAACTATTACCTTGAGCTGACAAAGGATCCTGTTCTCGTGGCTTCTCCCTTGAAAGCAGTCCCAGGTAACTGAGAACAACGTATTTTGTTTCATAGTGAAATCCCACAGGCACAGCAACAGAAGAAGCCATTAGGTTGGCTGGCAAAGTTCCACTAAATTCCAGAACAAGGGACTATTCCTCTGGTAAATATGAAAATGCTGAAAGACAGAAAAATAGTTTTGTTAATTTTAAACTCTATTAAGTCAAACCAATTGAAAGAGTCTCACCATTACCATCATAATTAACCAAAAAAAACCAAAGGGAACATTTAACTCTTAATTAACTTTGCTTATAAATGGAGGCCTTACACACTCCAATTTTGGTTCAAACACAAAATTTTTTCCCATCTCTTTCTCATTTCTCCTTTTTTACTGTTTTTCCAAGAGCGATAGGGGATGGTGTTGGTTGTTTGTATGAGGAAAATGAAAGAGTGATTTGCTCAAGAACTGACAGCTAGGAAATGCTACAGGTGGGACCAGAACCTATATATTGGGTTTCCTTTCCATCACACATACCAAGCTGCTTCCAACAAAATGACTGTTCCATTCTTTGTTTCTTTAAATAATCTTGTTTCCATTCAAAACACAAAACAAAGGAGTGTGCTTTAAAAATATTTCAGTGGACTTCAATAGGATAGAGAGAAGTTCCAAAGAACTTAAAGTTAGGTGTGGTAGGGTAAAGAGAGCTATGGTGGGTAAATTTTCAGATTCACAGCAAGCAAATCTTAATCTGACCTGGGACTTGATTGGGTTTGCTGAATTGCCTTTTATCTCTTCCAAAATTTTTGTTACAGGGGGCAGGTAGGTGGCGCAGCGGATAGAGCAACGGCCCTGAAGTCAGGAGGACCCGAGTCCAGATCCAGCCTCAGACCAAACACTTGACACTGCCTAGCTGTGGGACCCTGAGCAAGTCACTTAACCCCAATAGCCTACAAAAAAAAAACTGTTACAAAAGTAGCATTATCCTGTGCTGTCACAACAAAACTGTTGTACATGCATTAAAACTTCCTTCTTTGGAAGATTTTAAAGCTAAGATTAAAAATGCAATACTTTTAGTCACTGAAGAGCAGCTAAGGAAAGCTTTTAAAAGTCTGAAAATCGACTAGAGTATTATATAACATATGATGGTAGCTATGTTGAACTCTCATACAAAACATTCAATATTTTTAAAATGTTAGTAATTAGCCTTTCAAATGTTTTTTCCTAAGTTTGTAGTATTTGCACTTGAGTTATTTAAGCTTAAAACTGCCCTAAGACTTTGGGTACATATATTATTTTTCAGGTCCTATTTCCTTTACATTAGTTCCTAAAGCTTCCCATTACCAAAGAAAAAACATTAATAGTAATACTATACTCCGGGCATTTAGGCTCAAGTCAAACACAACTAAAAGAATAGGACTGGAGAAATATATCGATAAATAATGCTTTGAAGAAACACAAGTTATCCTGTAATCTACTGTGCTTAAATGAAATTACTTGGAAATATAAAATTCCTATATTACTGGTCATACATCCAGTATCTTATTCTCTATAATCAATTATAAGCCAGTCTTTCCAAATTTCTGAATTTCATCATAGCTTATCTCTTCTTCAAATCTTTCTTGGTGGTTCTAAAGTGTCCAACCCAATGGGTAGCTAGGTGGCGCAGTAGATAGAGCACCAGCCCTGGATTCAGGAGGACCTAAGTTCAAATTCGGCCTCAGACACATAACACTTACTAGCTGTGTGACCCTGGGCAAGTCACTTAACTCCATTGCCTAACAAAAAAAAAAAATTTTAACTGTACAACCAAACAAGCTACTACGTGGTTTTTCGAATGGGATTCAAACAAGTACAAAGACAATGATAAAATGTGCTAGACCTAATTCAAGCCAGTCCAGCGGTTCAGGTTTAGGATCAAATTGCACTAAGATTCTCATTGACGATAAAATATTTAACAAAGGGAAATTTACTCAATCAAAAAAAGGATCTTAAGGCTATAACACTGATTCATGATGAGATTCCCCTTTGAGTCCACATCTACAATGGCAGTAACGCCCAGAAATGTATATTAATTCTGACAGCACCTGAAATTTCACCAGGCCTAAGGATCCTTGACTCCTTGTAGCTGGGCTTTTTATATCTCAGGAGTCAGGAAGTCCTATCAGTAAGTATTAAAGAGAAAAGAGTGCAGCCTACATAAAATAATTGCTACCACACAAGGTAAGGTCAGGTTCTCATTAGTATGAATCATGAATAATCCCATGAAGTGGTCCCATTATTCAAATTCACATTACTCAAAGCTATAATTACATACAAAAATATGGTAATTGGTTTCAGCCAATGGAAATTGAAAAATTTTTTAACACTTTTTTATCTCTTTATTAATATAAGAGCAAAGGATAAGAAAAAATACATTTCTGATTCAATTTTACTACAAAATTTTTTTAAAAACAAAATTACTGAATAACATACCTAAAGAGATAAGCCTATACTGATGATAGGATAAAAAGATCTTTATCATTTAAAATATTTTAGCAAGGTAGATTGAGTTGTTTCTTTCTTTAAATCATCATACATATATGCTGGCAGATGCAGAGCTTTATCCAAATCTCAGTAAATTTCCATGCTCAAATTCTCACATTTCAAACCAAATGTACTTGGATGACCTGCTGCATTATCTAAAATCAGCAATACAAAAACACAATTCCACAAGTCCAGCCACAGGTGGCCCTCTAGGTCCTCAGGTGCGGCCCTTCCACTGAATCCAAATGAATATAAATGATTAACTTCATTTACTTCAAATCCACAGGTTCCCTATCCCTGCTAGTAGTCCTTGAAATATTCTTCAATAGCTAGGCTAAAATAAGAAAATGAGTCTTCAAAAACAGCTTTAATTACTCATGTTTTCTTATTTGACTGCGAAACCTAGATCTAGAAAACATAACAGACCAAATCTTGATGGGGAAATCCAAGAAAAAGCCACAGTGATTCATTTTTCCAGCACAAGTAAACATTGGGAGACAGAGAGGGAAGTACACACTGGGGACAGCACTTGGCCAAGAGCACAACATATAGATAACACCAGCACCCAGCAATAGGTTGTACACCAGGGTAAGAGGATGTCCAAGACCCATACTAAGACATATCAACACTGCCTAGTGTGACAGGGATGGGGATGAAATCTGAACACCTAAAAAGAAAAGACCATGTCTTTGGGATCTAAACCCCAAAAAGGAAAAACCCTGAACTTTCCTACAAGGCCAAATCTCTGGCATTTGCTTGAGGCTGTAATCCACTCAACTGGCCTTTCATTCTGGCTGCGCCCAATCTCTCAATTCTATTCCATTACTTCCAGATTGCCCCTGCCCGCTTCCCACCCTTAATCCTAGCTAGATTCCATTCTCCCTTGGCCACATGGTCCAGGTCCCTGGGTTCTGTTCACCCCAGCTTACTGGCTACTCCCATCCAGATCCTTCTTAGACCCCTCCTCCAGTCACCCCAAACTACTTGGCCACTCCTGGATCTCTCCCACAGTCTTTCTGTACATGAGATTCATCTTGTTTCCATTAAGGTGCTCTTAATTCTTAATTAATAAGGTGCTAGATTCTTAAAATCTAGACAAATGCTCAGATTTTTTAAGAGTCTAGCCAATAGCTGATAGATGTTCAGATCGTGAGTCTGGCCAATATGACGGATATGGCTGAAAGAAGGCTTGCGTCAAATTCTTTCATGCAGGACCTGCATCTCTTGCTCTTGATATTTTGGGGTCTCAGCACCCCTACACCTCTAAACCTTAACAACAGGTGCCAATTGGAAGCTTTGTCATGCATTATTACCCAGTTTGAGCAGACCAGAGCAAAGGGAGAAGGACCTTCACCTAGAGATGGTAGTCCAGAGTATAGAATAGTCATAGATCTAAGGTGCTGTACTGACATATGAACAAGTTCAGAATTAAGAAGAAACTGTGTGACTCTGAACCAAGGAGTAAAACAGGGTCTCAGTTCCAACTTCTACCCTCCCCTGAAGCCTGCAATTACTTGGAAAGGAATTCCAAACCAGAAGGGGGCCTGCAGTTCTACCACTCTGAACCCATAGAGCTTCCCAGATGGCTGACAGTGGCTGAGTCCAGCAACACTCTATTGTTGTCAGACCTAATCCCAAGTCAAGAACTTCCAGAGCTCAGATCAAAGTGGTTACACTCAGACTTTGCCCTGATCAGACTACTTAGAGAGCAGTGAAAGCTTGCATGCCCAGAGATGTTAGAATGGTACAAAACTCAATACACAAGAAAGGAACAACAGGATCAACCTCCACTTTCCCTCAAAAAGTACAAAGGAATCAGCCCAAACAGTCAAGTCTAAAGTTGGGAAGTAGGCTGAAAGAAACAATAAACAAACAAACAAAACTCCACATAGAGAGCAGTTAGGGTGACTGGGTTGTTTATGACACAAACCGTAGAAGAGAATGACTTCAAACATATACAAGAAAAGCCTCTAAAACAAAAAACCAAAACAAACGAAAAACCCCACAAACAAATCCCACAGCTTGGGCAAAAATTCAACTAAAATTCTTTGAAGAGATGAAGCAAGAGTTTTAAGAAGAGTTTTTTTTCTTTAAGAAGAGTTTTTAAAAGTGTTTAAAAAAATTTATACATGAGCACAATTAGGGTTGAAGTTCAAACACAAGAGAAACATAAAAAGATAAACAAAAAAAATAATCTTAAAAGAATAATCAAAGATAAACTATTGACACTCAAACATGGGAAGAGGATTCATGTGTCCCCTCTGAATCCTATCATCACCAGGAATCAAAAAGGGAATCTAATTAGACAGAATGCCTAGGAGTGGTTCAATAATGTTTTGATAATCTTAAAAGAACAGAAAAGGTTAGGGAGAGGAGGAAGGCAGGGGAGAAGTGAGGGAACGTTAGGAAAAGTTATCTTACAAATCAGAGTATACAAGTAGAAGTCTATACAAACAAAGACTCTTGTCTGAGAAAAATACTCATACATATACACACATACACACTAAGCTGGGTAAAGAAACACATTTCACTCAACGTGGAAATAGAAGGGAAATGGGAGAAGGGAAAGCTAGATGAAAATGAGATTAAGGGAGTGGATTATTTCTAAGTACAGCAAACTCTGAAGATATAAGAAATATTTGTAGCTCTTTTTA